AAAGTTAAAAGAGTGTGCAGTGCCATTTTTGTGCAATTCAGGGGTTTTTTAGTAAGTGAAAATAAGTTGATGTGTACATGGATACTGAGTTGTGCAATTGTTTGTCTTGTTATTTTGGCTTTGTATAGCAGGCAAAAATCGCCGCTTCGCAAGCCGAAATAACGAGTCAAAGAATTGCACAAAATCGGTATCCGTGTGCCGCCAAAAATCGCCAAGTTTCGCCAAGGGGTACCCTAAACTATACTTTTACCATTTTAAAAATTATTAACCCTCTTGCTGTGTATTCGAAAAACGTCGAAGTAGCATGATTTCCATGGGATGCATTTTTCTGTCTTATTTAACTGTGCAGTCTGCTCTTTTCCTGTTCATGGCTTCATTTCGCCTTTTCTGCGATGTTTAATTGTTTGCTCAATTATGGATTACAAATGGTGTTAGATATCCATATTTCTGCGAAATATACAAGCATGTTTTTCACATTCTTTTCAAAGCTCAAAGATGTCCATATTTTAACTCTCAATTCCATGAGGCTGACTGCTCTGCACATAACCTCAATCCTATTAAGAATGTAGGATAAAGAATTGTTATTGATAGGATAAAGAATATAGAATTATTGATAGGATAAAGGCGCATTGTTTGTTTCTTAAAAAAAAAAATAAAACTGGCAAAAAAATGTGCAAAGAAATGCAAATTTGGTGCAAAGATTGCGAGGTATGACTTTTCCTCGAACCTTGTTTCGAAGTTTATCATACTGTTACGAAATGTACAAGCGCGGGGAGATAGCTTCCTCGCAAAGCAGTTTTAGGGTTGCCACCTTTGGCAAGAAATCGCCCATTTGGCGACAAAATTGGCGATATACCATGGATGGTTGGAGAACCTTCTGGAACGAATTCTTACCTGTTTAGCCCAGAATGTTCTCGAACACAGGCCGAAAGCTATATAAACCCTGCTGGTCTGCAGTCACTGAGTGTGTCTCATCTAGTGAATCAATCCCTGCGGAGTCGATCGAGTTGACAGCCGGGCAGCAAGTGCAGAGTGGGTCGTCGAGTGCACCGAAGGAGTCTGTTAATGTAGCGCGGTTAGTGCATTGTCGAGAGAGCATGTTGAGCTCCGGGAACGACTGAACCGAAGAGTCGGGAGCTGTGCTCATGTGTCGTCGAGTGCATCACGAGTTGTAGCATGGAGAGTCTCTAGAGTACGTGGAGTTCCGAGAACGACCAAGCAGAGTCGGGTGCTTTGCAGGAAGCTGTCTGTACCGTTATTGCCTGACAGTCTTTGATTGTTCCAGCGTGTTTATAGTAGATCTTCAACGACTGTAAAAAGTGTTATTGGAGCTGTCCTGATTAATATTGGCTAAATAAAGTGTGTTTCGATACTTCATCAAGTGTCGTCATTATTCACTCCAAATCTACGAACCTTGTACGAACGTGAAGGAAGAAAATAACATAACAACTGGTGTCAGAAGAAAAGAAAAACGCTACAATACTAAACTGCATTTCTAAAAAATTAACCAAGATTAATTTTCAGAATTTGCTTTTATGTGATTATTCTTCAGTTTCAATTTTCCGTTAACTGTTTTTGGTAAAAATAAATTTACAGGTACCCCTTAGCGATTTTTGTCGGCACATTTTTTTTAAAGTAAAAATAGGTCAATGTGTACATGGATACAGAGTTTGTGCAATTCTTTGCACAAACTCAGTATCCATGTACACACTGGCCTATTTTCACTTTAAAAAAGGTCAGAGAATTGCACAAACGTGGCATTGCGCACTCCCTTGACTTTATCCATGTACACATTGACCTATCGCACTCTTGGCGATGAACGAAACAACAACTTTGCGATAGTACAAGGGGTTTTCTTCTCTTTACTCTAACCTTTTTTTTATTATCTAATTCTATATTTAAAAAAACTCTTTTACAAAAGAATTTTGTATATTTCAACTGTAAAATATATGTAGATTTGAAATATATAAAAAAAAATTATGCAGTTTTTTAAACCTGTTTTGTTGGGAAAAAAATACGCAGCGAGAAGGTTAAAGAAAATAAAACTAAGTATTTTATAGAACAGTGTAGTATATGTAAAATGAAAGAAAATCTAATGAATATAATCAAGTCACCCTGAGTTAAACATATTTTTGCCATATATCATTTCTACATCTTTTTGTCTCGTTGATTTTGATGGGAAATGTTTTGGCAAACCTTTTCCCATTTTCAAAATTGTGGTGCAAAAATCCATTTTTGTGTCATATAAATCTGAAGCAAGTGATAGTGAAAAACCTATCGAGATATAAGTTGTATTCTTTTCCCAAATGATTGCTTATGAGAGTTTTTTCCATATATAAGCCACCTTTCACTGTAAGATCATAGGTAGCTTTGCCTATATATATCTTTGCCTGTATATATTAAAAAGCTCCAAACAAAACGTGTATCAGATTCACTTAGTTTATATATTTTGATACCATATAAGGATCATTTTGACAGAACATATTGCTAAGAACTAGCCTGCTTTTCCACATAAATAAATATTCAACAGCAATCCCCCCCCCGGTTCATACACATTTTTAAATTTTTGTACAAATGGCTCAATAATTGATTTCAGTTTATCCAATTTTTTAGCATTACTGTCTGGTGTAAAGTGAACATATCACAAAAATGTAGTAGCACTTATCTGATTTGTAGTAAAGCACATTTTTAGATGCAGTATTTTTTTTATTATTATTATTATTATACCCATTAGCATATTTAACCCTTTGCGGCACGGTGTGTCTGGTCTGGACGCACCTCAAAATTTCCTTCTGTACACACAGAAAAATTTAATGAAAAAGGATTTATAGGTTACTATAGGTTACTCTGAACCTTCTTTATTTATAGTAAATGGCAGCGCAACACAAACCAGTCCGTATATTTTAGCCATGTTTAGTTTTTTAAGACCCTCATTTTTCAAAGAAATCTTCCAGATTTTTGTAGGGTATAAAAGGAATTGTTTGAAAAGATATTTCTATGTTATTTTTTTGGATGTATGCTAATTTCCTTATTCTATATTAATTTTAAATTTTTACCTTGAAATCTTGCTTAAAATGAAACAGCGAACCCTAGGTGTGCCCAGACCGGGCTTACCAATAATCTAGGGCAACCTGAGAGTTTGTATTCTTTGTTTCTCCGCATCTCATCGGGCAGTTCATTGACAACAATGCTCATTTTAGCACTCTTTTCGAAGCACTATTCAGTCAGTGTGCCCACTAAACACTAAACGATAAGTGTTATCTTCACAAAATTTTACTTGTGTACTCCTCTAGGCCTAATTAGACTGCCTACCTTTTTTTTTAATCAAAACTCCAACTGAGGAGGACAGGAGAGTCTCGAAACAGCCCATTAAGGTTTGGATCTTCTAAGTCAAAATTTACAAAATTGTTTGTTCTGTAATTAAATTTATTAAGTCATCTTCGAAAATTATGCAAAAAAACTTTATCACAGTCACCATCTATTGCATTGTTATTAATACCAGTGTAAGCATGCAGCTACAAATCTTTTAGTGCATGATGCCTGTTGTCATTTATGGATGGAGCAGATTCTGAAGCAAAAGGATACAGTTCTGAATCTGATAAAATAATCTGTATCAGAATGGGATAGTTCACTGCTAAAGCCACTGATATTGCTGCTACTCGGATCTTCTCTAATAAGCTGTATATTCAGCTTCCAATAAATATCACTTTTGTTTTGAGATTTTAAGGTATAAAAAGAAGTTAAATAATATACTGTTCAAACAGGAGATGCTGTTCTCTCAAAAAAAGTGCTTGAAAGAAATTTAAGCAATGATGCATTTGTATAAAGACCCAGCTTGCATGTTTACATTATGGAATCCTTCAATCTACCCCTCAGAATCAAATGAAACAGTTAAAGTTCAGACATCATAATTCCCATTTATCTTGGGACACGGACATAGGGAGTCATCTGTTAGAATTTAAAATATTTGCGTTTCTTTCCATGTAATTGTCACCTATACAGTCTTGCTAAGCACTAATCTTCTGAGATGCAGACGCTACACCCACCATGGATGGACCAAGTACTAGCGTGGTGTATATGACACACCCGTCTGGAAAAGGGTTAAAGGAAATATGAATGGCATATGGTATAATGACATTGCTCAACAGCTTGCATTTAAAAAAGTTTATTATTACCAACTGGGTAATGATATTCAGTGTAATATTAGTGAAGAATAACTGCTGCATGATGTCAAAATAATTATTTCTCTACAATTTCCTGATGTGTGTAGTTTAAAAAATTTGTCACTTTCTGAGCTAAAGTCAGTAATGAGACTAAACTCTAAACTCAGTGGTGCAACAGCTCTAGTGGGCCAATCTGCAGTGTCCCTATATCTCCTTTCTTGACCGTGGGCCCCAGGGTGCATGGGTATATGCCCTGGACAAGTGATCAGTTTGTCGCAAGACCCTCCCCAGTGTTTAGTCCCCAAGCGAACTTGGTACTCATTTATCAACCCACTCAAGAGATGAAAGGCTGAGTCGACATTGTCCAGCCAGAGGATCGAAACCCAGACCTGTGGTGCTGCTGCGCAACGCACCGTGCCACCGGGCTTCACCAGTAATGAGACTGAATGGGAATAGCTTATGAAATGACTCAAAATCAGGTTTATTTAATGAAATTCTATTTCTAAATTACGTTCATGCATTATGTATAAAAATTTATATGAGCAAAGCTGAAAAGCGTATATAAGTATGTGAATAGTTTTTCCTTCTTAAAATATTATTTTATATTCTATTCTAGTATAGATATTCCAGTATTTTTCAAACCAGTTTTCAAAAGAATTAGGAGCTTGTTTTATTGTTTTATTTCACTAAGCATTTTAATTTTTAGCCAATGTATATTGTACCTACTATATTTTAATCAAATTTTTATTTGATGAAAGTAAAGTTTTGGTGGCTGTATGTTATGTAAATTCTCCTGCTATTAGATATATGACTTATGAAAATCAACCTTTTTAATAGGCTATATATGATGATCTGCCATCATATGAAGTTGCTGAAGATTCACAACAGATTGTCAATGAGGTAGTATTTTATTTTAAAAAATATATTTTTTAATTAAATGACATTTACTGTACAACATGACTATGTTTCTGTGCTTGATTCTTATAATTTGTCTCCCAGAAGTTAATTTTTCAAAAATTTATAATAATTAGTATGAAATAGAAAAAAAAAATATATGCATAGCCATGTAATCATATTTTTCATTGTTGTATCAAAGAGATGATTAAAATAGAAATCAACTTAAGCCCACTTTTATAAAAAAAAAAAAATATATATCTAAATACAGTACAAAGTCCAATATCCATTTGTTCAATGTCTAAATCAATGTAAAATGTTTGTATGATCTAAAATCCATATCTCAAAGCCACCACCAACCGATTTTTTGAGAAGGTATGCTTTATGCATACACATTTTATTCTTTTCCCCCTCATAATAAAACATGCAGAGAGCCCCGATTCTTAATCTCACTTTGGCACTAAATAAAATACCTCATTATTGAAGAAATAATCATTTTAAAATAAATTTGTGTAATCAATATTTTGACTCTGTAGATGCATATCTGCTTGGCAAACATTTCAAACCAAAACATCCTACATAGAAACAATTGTTGATTTTACGCCGACCTGGCGAATCGTTATTTATTATATTTTGCTTTCATCACCGCACATTTATCAATACATGGCAATTTGAGTAATGACTCGAGCAGCAATGCCTAAACATTTTTTTTATATTAGTAATTGAATAACAAAGAGTATTATCCAATTACAGATTTAAGTTAAATGTGCTAAGAAATGTTGATGAGGAAATATTTAAAAAAAATTTCTTTTCATATGTTAAGAATAGATTTTGTTTAATAATACTCATTGGCCAAAAGATTACATTTAGTGCTATTTGAATTAAGATTAACTGATTTACTAATCCAGAAGTCAAACAACAAAAATCAGCGTTATATTTTCAAAATTTTCACAGGACTGGTTTCGATGGTTTTTACCAAACCACCATCCTCAGCTGCAAAACCGCAAATGAACAAGAAAGAAAAAAATGATTAGATAAAATAAGAAAGCATGGACAAGAATAAGCAAGTGGTGCAATCTGTTGGTGAAACCAGAACTAAAACATAATTTCTTTAAAGGCCGAAGGCAAAGATGGATTGGAATTAGGATCGTTAACTAGAACAGAATGTTTTTTTTTTTTTTTTTTTTAATGGGAAATGCCTCTAGAAAATCCAGTTCTCCAATGGAAGATGTTTTTTGAATAGTTTTGGCAGCAGAAAAATTGAAGGTGTGATTTTCAGACCAACAATGTTGAGCAACAGAAGACTTCTGTGTTTCCTCTTTTCTAACATATGCCTCATGTTCCTTGACGCGAAATTTTAAGGCCCTCTTAGTTTGGCCAATGTAAATTAAACCACACTGGCAAGGAATCCTATTAATACCCCAGGAATTCATATCCGGAATGGGGTCCTTGAGTATGGAACTCAGAATTTTATTGATGGGAGAATAAACAACCCGAAAGTTAAATTTCTGCAAAATATGTGCAACTTTATAGCTAATTGATGGAAAGAAGGGAATGACAACAGCATTTTTATAATCTCCTAAAACATTTTTTTTTAGAGTGTGCCTAACCTTTTAGGTGTGTTGAGATGGGAATTTTTTAACTGCTTGATTAATAATGTTGGGTGAAAACCCCTTGTCAATAGCTATTACTTTTAAATAATTTAGTTCTTCATCAAGGGCTAGTTTGGAGGAACAAACTTGAAGAGCACGGAAAACATAGTAATAAAATGAAGCTAACTTTTGTTTAGTCGGATGAAGTGATTTAAAGTGTGGTGGAAGACATACCAATGAAGGTTTACGGTAAACCGTAGTATTGAAGTTATGTTACGTGTGACCAGAATGTCGAGAAATGGCAGAGAATTACAAGTCTCAAGTTCAAAAGTGAACTGAATACCAGGATCAATAGAATTCATTGTTGAATGAACTTTATTTAAATCATCTTTATTACCTTCAAACAGGGTAAAAGTATTGTCTATGCAGCGGAACCATGCCGGGAAGTTTAAAGTTTCTAACAATTTTGATTCATAATAATGCATGTAGATATCAGCCAGGATGGGACTGAGGGGGCTTCCCATGGCTAATCCCTCAGTTTGCTTGTAATATTTATTTTGGAAAACAAAATGTGTTTCTTTCAAACAGAGTTGAGTGAGAGAAATTAGCTCATCAATTTCGATGCAAGAGAAATAAAATTCGCGAAGTCTGGTTTCTAGACATCTTAATGCACACTCCACTGGAACATTGGTGAATAATGATTTTACATCAAAAGAAACTATGAGTAAATTTCTAGGAGAAATGTTTTTAACCTTTTTTTTCAAACTCTATTGAATTTTTTATGGTGTAAATGTTATTGTCTAATAGAGTTGAAAATTTAGAAACTAAATATTTAGCTAAGGGATACGAGGCAGTATCTAAATTTGATACAATTATCAGGACTTGTGTTCCTCTTTACTTGCTTTGGAAACATGAACTGTCCTGACTCGGAACAGGGAGCTTACTCAAGCTATGTTCAATAAATTGTGAAGTAGACAATACACACAGGAAGGGTATACGAAACCCTTTATTTTTCTATCTTTACAGAGATTTCCGGACTTCGGAATACAGAGACCAACCACTTGTGGTCTGAACGTAAGAATATAAAAATATTAACTAAAACTCTAACTAAACTAACTTTGGATTAATATACAAGTGCCTAACTTTAAGATTGGCTGTTATTTAACAAAAAATCCGTATGTAGTACAGAGAGCTGCTAACACTTCGATATGTTTGAAATTATCAAGAGGACTAAACCTCTGGCCTTGAAGGCAACCAGCAACCGAGTAAAACTACTATGGCAAGCGGCCTGCTTCTAATAACTCCTTCCTCTCTCTTGCTTGGCAAAAAGCCACAACTTAAGTACTTGGCGTTAGCAAGACAAATTTGCAATAATAAGTTAAAGCTTTTAATTCTGGCCGGAAGTAGAAAATAAGAAGTGATAGTAAAGATATAAAATAAAATAAACGTTAGTAAAACTTAGGATCCTTACATACTTCCCGCCAGAGTTAATTAGTTTGAAACTGAGGTCTAAAACGACCTTGCTGAAAACTTTTAGCTCTAGAATCTAACGCGAGGACAATCTATTACAAACATTTCTCTCTAGAAACTAGAAATTAAAAAGTCGTTTTTACATTATCAACTCCATGGACAAGTCTTTTTCATCTGTACTGCATCTATAAACAGGAGTTTCTTAGTTGAAATCTGGTTCCTTCCAGAGATCTGGAAGGAAAACTTGTTTAATGAAATGTTACACAATTAAATGTCAGGTAACATGAATACTTATATTTCTCTTTTAACATTCTTATTTCATTCATGACGTTATTTAATTATCTCCCCGTGCTCTCTGACATGTGTTGTAAAGGAAAACACCAAACACGAGCGTGTCTATGTACAAGTGTTCAACACTATATTCACACACACCTTATATTCATCTCTAAACCCTGAGGTACTATTCTGAAAAGTGGCTAACTCTGAAGTGTAGCGTCAGAGAGCCTAACTACATTCATTCAACCTTTAACTCATATTCACAATAATTTGCTCTTTTTACAGTCACACGAATAAGTTAAAATTTTTGGCATTACTTTCACTTTTAATATATCACAGAATTTTTTACTTTTAAGATAACAGTTCACATTGTATACAAGAACATATCAAGATGCCGTTAATTTTACGCATTTTAAAACATACATTAGTTGTACATTGTTAACTTCTATTCTTTTCCAAGCAAGTGCCAATTCTTCTACATTGAAATACTACATTTCGAAAGTCTTTCAGACTAAAACTTCTTTCTTGCCAGAATCTTTTAAATAAAATTTTATACAATAATTTTTACAATTTTCTTAAGGTACCTTTCTCAAAGATTATCGATGCTTTTACAATATTCAAGTATTTACACATTCCTATTATATAGTAATTTTAGTTTTACTCGTGAGTAATTGAAAAACAATATAAAAATAGGTAACAATTCATTTCTCACCTTTTTGGCGATAAAGGTAGGCCTCACATGAGGTAAAACTTCTTGAATTCTGCCACTTGCAGTAAGAATGAAAAATTAACTTAAGGTTTCAAAGTAACATAAAGTTTTACTTATCTTTGTGATATTCAGACATCTTTTTCTCTGCCCAGGCTTGGAAAGTGGCGAAGACTACAGTCTGGTTGATCTTCCGTCTTGTACGGTTCGCCCTTCAGTTTCTTCCTCCATGAGCTTTCTTTTCCTTCCAATTCGGTCACCCTTGAAGACCTTCTTTTTAGCATCAGCTTGCGGTCTCGGCCGTTTGATGGCAGCTGGTCTTGGCGGAACCAGGACACTTCTCTCTTGTTGTTGCCTGGATCTCGTTGCTGGCCGTTTAAATTTTCCTTGTATCTTTTCCTCCACCGCTGGTCTTCCTTCATCAATTCGTCGACATTTGCTGCATAGTCTCCTATCCAATGGGTAGATCTTCCGTTTTGGAGCCGTGTTATAGTTGTTGTCATTTCTCCTGGCTCTCTTTGCATTAGTTGTACTTCTCCCTTCTTCATTCTGGGGGTGGACGTGCCCTCTCTTTTCTGGTCGGTGGAACGGCTTCTTTTTCTTGTTACCTTCAGCTTTCCAATGGGGGATCTTTCTTTTCAATTGCTTTACCTCTCTACTCATGTAGCTTGACTCTTGTGGTTGTCGTTGTGCCACCTCTGGAGATTATGTCCTGCCGTGCCAGGATCCTGCAAAAGATCTTTGAAGATATTTCATTTTATTACGATTGATAAAATGGTTTGATCTGGTTATCGATATTTGCCATACATGTGTTCACCATTCCTTGGCTTTTCAAACCACTACAGCCTGAGGTTACTTTTTCGATCACATATTATCCTTCAAATCGTGAATAGAACTTGGCTAGTTTTATCTTCTGGTGCTGAAAGAAAGCGAATGCTTAATTTTTAACACTTCGTCCCGTA